AGACTAAGGTGTGCCTAACCCAAGCCATGGTATTTTCAATCGTCTCATATGCATGTGAGAACTGGACAATGAAGAAGGAAGACTGAAGAAGAGTTGATGCTTTTGAGTTATGGTGTTGACAAAGAATACTGAAAGTGCCATGAACTGCCAAAAGAACTAACAAATCTGTCCTGGAAGAAGTGCAGACAGAATTCTTCTTGGAGGAAGTAATGGCCACATTTCATTTGACCTACTTTGTTCATGTCAGGAGGGACCATTCCCTGGAGAAGGATATCATGCTCAGTAAAGTAGAGGATCAATGAAAAAGGGGAAGGCCCTTAATGAGATAGATTGACACAGTGGCTGCAACAATGGGCTCTAGTGTAGCAAGTATTGTGAGGATGGCACAGGACTGGGCAGTGTTTCGTTCTGTTGCACACATGGTCGCCATGAGTTGTAGTCGACTCAATGGCACCTAATAACAACAACAACATTCATATGCATCTTTTCACATTTTAATTATATTGTAAGCAAAGTTTTCCTTTCTATCTCTTATATACTTTAAAAAAACATAATCTTACTGATTACTTTGCTCTTCAATATTGATGCATAATCAAATTTTCAGTATTCGAAATATCACTAGGAGCTCTGGTGGTGTACAGCCTAAGGCATCTGACTGCTAACCAGAAGGCTGGTGGTTCAATCCCACTATCAATAATATCTACATTTCATGCTCATTGATAATCATCCCTACAGGAAGAGTATAAAAATGGCACAATGGTTAAGACTCAGACCCTGTTTACTAGTTGCAAGATTCAGCATCTCTAATCCTCACTTTCCTCAAATACAAAAGGTGTAATAACATTTTTGGTCAAATGATTTTTGACAAAGAAACAAAATTCATCCATTTAATGAGGAAAGAATAATCTTCAACAAATGGTACTGGCAAAACTGGACTTCCACATGCAGAAAAATTAAACAAGATCCATACCTCACACTCTATACAAAACCTAATTCAAAATGGATCAAGGACCTAAATTTTAAATCTACAACAATAAAGTTCTTGGAATAACATACAGGAGTAAAGCTTTGGGACCTATTTTGTTTTTCAACAATAGGTTATCAAACACAACAATGAATGCATGAGCAACAGAAGACAAAAGAGGTAACTGGGAACTTATAAAAGTTAAATATTTATGTTTATCAAAAGACTAAAGAGAAAACCTACAGACTAGGAAAGAATCTTGAGAACAATATAACTAGTAAAAGTCTAATATTGAAAATGTTACAACTTAACAAAATGACAAGAAAAAGGAGGCTCAGGACCGTAGTCTTGGGAAACACTAAGATCAACTGGCATAATATAGTCCACAAAGACAATGTTCTACATCTTACTTTGGTGAGTAGCAACGAGGATAAAAGCTGTGAGTGGCACTCTAAGGTGCAACTATTGGTCTCTCCCTGTGTAGAGCAAAGAAGAGTCAAGAAAATCAAAGATGCAGGAAACAATTAGTCACAAGGATTAATGGAACACGTGAATCCTAGCCTCTAGAATCCTGTTACCAGAAGAACGAGATGTTTCCAGGCTATCACTACTGACTTCTCTGAAAGAGATCATAATAAGAGGTCCTGGATAGAGTAGGGGAAAATGTGGAACAAAACTCAAAATCATAAAAAAGTGCAGGCTCACTTGTCTGATGAACATTAGCAGGCATCCTTCAAGCTAGGGATGGAACTTAACCCCTGTCACTAACTGTCAGCCAAATGATAAGACAGTTCTACAAAGTGAACAGTAATTTCAGGAGGGTATACATTCATCAGAACAATGAAGCATATGAGATCAAGAGGACAGCATTTACCCAGGGAGAGTTAGGAAGGCTGTAGGGGATAGGAAGAAAAGATGAAGGAAAAGGGTGGGCACAGGGTGGAAATGGGAAGAAAGCTGTTACAGTGTGGGGGCTGCAGTTAATGTCACAAAACTGATTGTGTATGGAATGCTGGGTGAAAAACCAATTTGCTCTGTAAACTTTAATCCAAACCACATAAAAAAGAAGATTAAAAAAAAAAAAAAACTGGACAAATATTACGAACAGACACTTCACCAAAAAGGATACTCAAATGGCTAATAGACACATGAAAAGATAAACACCATTAACCATCAGAGAAATGCAATCAAAACCACCATGAGATACTATTTCACTTTCACTAGTATGGGCAAGAGAAACAAAAATGGAAAATAACAAGTATTGGAGGGGATGTGGAGAAATTGGAACACTCATCCATTGCTGGTGGGAATGCAAAATGGTACAGCCATTGTGGAAAACAGTCTGGTGGTACCTCAAAAAACTAGAAGTAGAGTTGCCATATGACCTGGAAATTCCTCTACTAGGTATATAACCTAGGGATTTAATAGAAGTGACATGAAAAAATATGCACACCTATGTTCATCACAGCACTATGCACAACAGTAAAAATATAGTAACAAGCTAAATGCCCACCAATGGATGAATGAGTAAGTAAAATGTAGTACATACAGAAAATGGAATAGTATTCAGCAATAAAGAAATTTTATTTCCAAAAAAATTGGACTGTGGATGAACCTGGAGGACCTTATTTTGAGTGAAATAAGTCAATCACAAAAAACAAATATTGTATGTTCTCATTTTTATGAAATGACAAGATCAGGTAAATTTACAGAAACTAATGTTCATTAATGGTTACCAGGCATTGGGGGGGGAGGGATTCAGTCTCTAGATAGTAGACATTTGATGTTTTTGGTTATGGGACAGTAACTCCGAATGAAGATGTAATGTACACACCTTGATGAAGGTAAATGATGTCACTAAAATGTACATAAGAAAAAGAAACCTGTTGGTAATTATTATGGCATATATAATTTTGAAACAGCATAAACAAAAAATATATGTGCACATATGTATGAATGTAGGCATATATGTGTATAAGTAAATATAGTGTATATATACCAAACCAAACTCACTGCCATCAAGCCAATTCCGGCCTATCGAGACCCCCAATGGGTTTCCAAGGTGGTAAATCTTTACAGAAGTAGATTTCCCTGTCTTCCTTCCATGGAGTGTCTGGTAGGTTTGAACCACCAGCTTTCTGGTCAGTGGTTGTGATGGTTATGTTTGTGTGTCAACTTTGCTGGGCCTGGTGGGGTGGCTGGGCAGCTGGTGGTACTTATTCCCCATGATGAGACTGGCAATCATCTCCATGGTGGGATCTACCACAAGCAGCTGAGTAGCTGCCTTTGGGATGTGGTCTGCTTCCTGT